ATTGGAAAATCAGGTCGACATCCTAGAAAAAGGCATGAGTAAATCACCCTCTTTAGCTCAAAGGGGTTTCCTTTTTATCCATTCAATTTTCTCATTTTATTCTGGGTCAGGAAGAGCCACCACAAACTAGTGGGTCCAACAGCCAACATGGCAGCTGAAATGGGCCCCCAAAGGACAAATTCTCTCCGTTGAGAACTGATTGTAAATTCACCTGAAGTTTCAGCAGCCCCCTATGGCTGAAACCCAGTCTATTTCTCAAAATGGGAGAAGTGAGCATTGCATGTGAGGCTTTGACTTCCTGGAGGGAAGGCAGAATATAAAATGAATGAGTGAGTGAATAAATATCTTTAAGACATTACAAGACGGAGTGGAGAGATCTTACCTAAGAGATTAAACTGGTATAGGTTGCATTTTGATTCTAAGCAGATGTCCCAGAGACCACTATGAACCATGCCTCTATAAGTTGTCTCCAGTACCCAGTAAGAGGTACGCAAGGACATATATTCCAACAGCAGGCTTCCCGCTGAGCAAATGCCACAGCTAATCTTCAGGGGTTGAGTCAAGAAAGACAAATTTATCTCTAAACTGGTGATGCTTGTTAAAGAAACTGTAGTGGAAGGGATTTCTCTAGAGGGAGGATGAAGAAAAAAATTAAAGTCATTATGATTATTTCTAATTTATTTTTTTCAGTCCTGATTAACGGTCGTTTGAAGGGAAGTCCTGGATATTGATTGTAATATCTGGTAGAACGTATCAGTATCTCAAATTGTAGTGCTACTAGACCATATTGGAAATCTGTATCTGTTCTGACCTAAACTCTTTTCCAATAAAACAAACACGAACCAAAGGGAACAGAAACCGTTTAATGATTCTTATGAATCACCGGTTAAAAGGCTGCTGCAAACTAATTAACTTTGATAAGCACAAGCTTCGCCAAAACTGTGGTAGTCTGCCAAGAATAACAGATAAGATTTCACAACACAAGACTCTTCAAATACCAACTTAAGATACTGTAATGTCCATGAGGCTGAGTTTCAAAATGTCTTTGCTTCCTGCAAAGAACGTTCGCTTCACAGCTGCCTTTTATCTTCTTGAAGGAGGGGCCATTGCCTTGCAGCCTTACTCCCAAGTCGCCTGTACTGCTGCAACTGCTCTTTCCTGTGAGCAACCCTGCATGTGCATGTGTACTTGGCACAGGCTCCTCGGGAACCTCCTCATTGCTGCTGCCAGCCCCCACAATCTCTGAAGGCAGAAGTCCACTGTCTAATGGTCATGGCCCCTCATCTGAGTCCTTGTTCTCCTCAGCCATCTGCACCTGCTGTCAGCTAACCACAACAGTGTCTGGGATTTCTTGTTCCACATATTCCTTTACTTCAGGGTAAAATGACCCAGTAGGATTTTCCAAAGCAAAAGGAGGCAAGGCAAGAAACAATGGATGGGAACTAATCAAGAAGTGGAACAACTTGCCTTGAGAAGTTGTAGGTGCTTAATCACCTTTCTGAAATGTCTGTAGTGTCTCCTGCTTGAGCAGGTGGCTGGACTAGAAGACCTCCAAGGTCCCTTCCAACTCTATTCTGATTAATTTTCATTGTTGGAATTGTTACTTCTTGGCAGGCTGGACTGGAAAGAATCATCAGGCAGACAAAAATCCAACAACTTTTGATCTGGAATTTTTATTATAGAAAAATTAAGAAGCCATTCTGAAACAATTCCAGCCCCCTCCTCAAGCAAGAGACCCTATACCATTTCTGACAGGTGACTGTCCAGTCCCTTCTTAAAAACCTCCAGTGATGAAGCACCTACAACTTTTATCTAAAATAACTCCATTTGAAAACAAATGTAATTGATCCCTAAGCCTGCAGGTGTTAACCAATCTAATAATTTGAATCACAATTGTACAGACATTAAATCAAACTATCTGTATGTTTATCCTTCCTTTACATTTGAAGGTGGCTTCTTCTTTATAATAATTAACTCAACCTATTCTCAATTTATCCGAACAGAATTCAGTTAGCTATAACCTCAAACTTTTCAAACGGGAATATGAAAATCCGTGGTGGCAAGAAATTAATTACAAATGCAAGGATTCATTATTTCTGTGGATGTTTTATGGGGCAATTTTGATCAGCTAAGAACCACCATTATACTTTCCTCAAGTTATAAGAATGGGGAATGACAAAATGTAGGTCAAGGTTTCCAATTTGTTTTTTTAAAAAATTGCATTAACAGAGGGATTCAATCAGTAGAGCGATACTAATACCACTCTATAAAGCCTTGGGAAGACCACACCTAGAATACTGCATCCAGTTTTGGTCACCACACTATAAAAAAAGATGTTGAGACTTGAGAAAGATTGCAGAGAAGAGCAACCAGGATAATTGGGGGTCTGGAGGCTAAAACATACGGTGAACATTTGCAGGAACTGGGCTTGACTAGTCTAGTAAAGAGAAGGACCAGGGGAGACATAATAGTGGTCTTCCAATATTTGAAGGGCTGCCACAAGAGAAAGGGATCAAGCTATTTTTCAAAGCACCTGAAGGCCAGACATGGAATAATGGATGGAAACTGATCAAGGAGATATCCAACCTGGAAATAAGGAGACATTATCCAACAGTGAGAGCAATCAACCAATGGAATAGAAGTTGCCTTCATAAACTGTGGGACCTTCATCACTGGAGTCTTTCAAGAAGAGACCAGACTGCCATTTGCCAGAAATGGGGTAGGGTCTCCTGCTTGGGCAGGGGTTGGACTACAAGGTCCCTTCCAACTCTGTTAATGTTAACTCTTTTAAATCTGTTAAGACCTTACCCCTTTCTCCCTCCCACAACAGGTCCAACAGCCACACCTTTCTGCCATTTGGGGCAGCTTCTCTGCAATGGAAGCAGGGATGGAGAAACAGCAACCTCTTCTGAGATCCACTCGGTTGCCTCGGCTACCATCACAGGTTCCTAGCCTACCACTGGAATCTGTATTGATGGGTGCAAATTCCAACCAATGAGGCTTCTGGGTTCTTCTGTCCCCAAGGTTTCTGGCCAATTAGATCAATGTTGTGCAACAAGGGAAAGAATGTTTTGATTGCAATTTAAATTTTGAAGAGTCTGAAGTGTAATGAGAAGAACTGAAAAGATTCAATAGTTTCCTTACAAGAAACTTCTAAAATTACCTAGGAGCACCTCCAGAAGTGTAAAATTGACCCCTCCTCTCTCCAGTATCTTGTATCGCTTATCTACCTATATTCAGAGGTGGTATTCAGCAGGTTCTGACCAATTCTAGAGAACCAGTAGCGGAAATTTTGAGTAGTTCGGTGAACTGGCAAATACCACCTCAGACTGGCCCCGCCAACCCCATCTATTCTCTGCCTCCTGAGTCCCAACTGATCAGCTGGGTCTTCTTTGGTTGCCCTGCACAGGAGAACGGAGCTGGAAAGCAGGTTAGTGGGATGGGGAGGGAATGAGGATTTTGCAGTAACCTTCCCCCAGGAATAGAGAGGGAATGGAGATTTTACACTATCCTTCTCGTGCCACGCCCACCAAGCCACGTCCACAGAACCTGTAGTAAAAAAATTTGAATCCCCCAATGCCTATATCCCATCTATCTATCTTATTTATATCTGTCAAATCCCTGTATCTATCCATCCATCTATACCTCTCTCTATATACTGTATCTTTCTCTTTATTTCTCTTTTGCTATCATCTATCTAATCATTGGGTTTTTAAATTTTTTTCAGGTATTTACAACTGAAATAAACAATAGCTAAATAAATAGGTATGCAAAGAGAAATGATCTTATAAAAATAAAATATTGCACTATTGCTTAGGGAGATAATCTGGATAAATAAAATTAGGTAAATAAAATTGAATCTTAATTTTATTGGCTGTCTTGAAATGCCCATTGTGACAATTCTGCTGAAGTTTAAATAAATGTATCTATGCCTTGTATAAAAGAGAACAGTCCATCTTGCTAACACAATGCCAACTTTATTTCAACAAGTGACAAGTTATCAGAAAAACACAATTTCACATCTTCCTCTAAGGGAAACAAAAATATTTTACTATAAAGTATTTCAAATCACCACAAATGCTTTTCTTGGGTTTAAAAACCCACGTTCACCACATAAGATATGCAAAAAGGTTTTAAAAGCTTTCTAAACAAACTCAGTGTTGAACACTTAACACTTAAAACAGCAAGATTAATTAGCATTTAGATATACTAGACAGACATCGTTATTAAAATAACATATCCATCTCTGTGTGCAAAGAAAAAAAAGCATGGATGGTCTTTGCTAACAATTTCTCCCATGCAGTGAAATGATAACCATCTTCGCAATGATGTAGTCTGTATTCTGAGATTTGCATGATGATTTCAAGCTTCTGTGCTTCAGATGTTGCACGTAATAGGCATTAATCTTTGGGTTCAAACCAGACAGACTGTAGTTTAAAAGTCATGGATCATTTCTACAGAACCCACAACGGGCATTTTGCAGAATTGGATGTGGGTGACTGCATGGACTCAGTAGGATGCTTCCATTGTAACAAACTGCCAAATGAAAAAACAACAACAACAAGCTGTGATAGTTAACACAATTTGAAATAGCTTTCCATTGGTGATATATCTTAAAATACCCCAGACTAAGAATAAACGATGCCACAAATGCAATTCTCCACTGCTTTTTCCATTCTCTTCAAATAGTAAGGTGGTTGAGTACTGGTTGTTTACTGGATGATGTAGCCTATTTTGGAAAGGATAGCAGGTGTATCTGATTATGTCAGAAGAACCCTTGTTTCATGAATAAAAGACAACACAGGTTGTGAATGATCTGTAAAAGAAGACATAATAACCACAACCTACCTACACTGGAGTCAAATGTCTATCTTAACTAATTAAACTGCTCTGGAATTCCAGAAATGGAAACTTTTGGAGAGATTTCCTCTTAGATCCCAAATCTGTTAAACTACACGATATCCTCATTTTCTCCTCCTAGCTAATCTCTCACCCATAATCTATGCTAAAGGTTTTGGTTCTCCATCAGGTGCCCCCTTCATGGCCTCTTCCTCTTCTGGTCTAGATTTCTCTGGATTTATATCGATGGTCAGATCTGTAGAACATTCAGAACTTGACTTCTCTGGGACATCAGAATAAAGGCTCAGAAGATAATGGGCAAACCTGCCATTCTTCCAATCCGAGTCAGACGCGGTGGGTTCCATCTCAGTAGATGTAGCTGCCTGGTCTTGGGAAAGGCACTTGGGAAGGGGAGAGGTCTCCAGTTTCTTTTTGGGTAGATCCGTAGATGGAGCACATTCTATGTCGTAACTATCTCCCGCTTCAGAAGTATTCATTTCTTTGTTCTGAAGGGAAGAATTGGAAAAACACTCGGGAGCACTGGCGGTTTCTTGGATGTTCTGATATTCTGCTTCCCAATCTTCGGCTTTATCCTGGCCAGTTGTGGTAGTCATCTCAGCAACTGCAGTATTATCCTTGAAGCTGGCAGGCTGTTGAGGCCCTTGCTTCCTTGGCCATTCAATCTGGCCATGGGTCGAGTATCTGTGGCCTTTGGGGCCATCGCACATCTCTTGCCAACCATTTCCATCTCGCTTCCTCTTCATGTTCAGAGTATGTTCTCCAAATGTGGTGCCTTCCCTTTTGCTGTTGGGCGAGCCTGAAGACCAAGGAGTTGACTCAGCCAGGCTTTCCCTGGGGTTGCTCCAAGACTTGCTGAAATTTCCCTCCTTCCTTTGCCAGTTGTCCCCTTTCCAATACCTCCTGCCTTCATCTCTCTGCCTCTCCTTCCATCCCAATGGGGACTGGGATCGTTTCCATCCCCTTGCCGGATCTGCTTGAGGGGATCCAGACCAGTTCTTCCCACCATCCCATTGGGCGACCCTGGCCCGTTGGTTATGCTGCCTACCCGGGATTCCACTGCCATGAGAATAAGAGTTTCTATAAACTGTTTCATCACGGTGAGGCGTATTAGGGTGCCAGGCGTAAGGAGCACTACCAGAAGCCTTATGGCAGGTGGGTTGGCAGCTGTTACAGCAGCTCCCTGCCTGTTGAGCACCCAGGCCATGACACACAGAGACAGATCCTTGCCCACTCTGAATAGGTAGGGGAGCCAGGACATTCTGGGCCCCTTTGGCAGCACTGTTCAGCAAGAAGTACAGGACATCCAAGCGTACGGGCACTGTTAAGGAGGACAGACTGCTGGATGACGTCACATGTCCCAAGGAGTTAGGATGCAGGTCAGAAGCTCCAGATGTGGACATGTCTTTGGTGGATGACCCAGGTGGCATCAGCACCAGCCTTCTTTCAAGGGCCTCACGATTAACAGGCTGCTGGTTCTCAGCCATAGGACTTTCTGCGTGACTCCCAGGAGACCCAAAGACTGTAGGAAAAAGGAGAACATAAAGCCAACTGTCAAGAATCTCAGAGTATATTCATGAACTGGAACAGAGCTTGGTAACAAGGTCAGCCAATCAATAGGCATAGCAACTAAATCAGCCAATGAGGAGAGTTTGGAAACTGAAACTAGAAGTAGCCTAGGCTGGAAAATGAAGCTAGTAGTCTAGGTATGGCTCTATGTTAAGCTCTGAGTCTGTCTGTTGAAGATGGAACTAACTTGCTTGCTTGCTTGCCTGGTGAACTAAAGTGAAACTAATGTCTGTTTCTGTGCTGCTGAAGTTACTTGCAACATGTTTCTGTCTGAGTTTGCTCCATTTGTTTATTTGATTTGATTTGTCACTCGCTTACAAGATAATACGTATAAGTATAAACATGAGTAAGAATACAGGAAATAGGTACAAATAAATGGGGACCATAGGACAAGGACGGGAAGCACGTCCTATCCATGTTGAAGAAATCTACAACTGGTTTGTAGAAATCTACTTATGTTTATAAAGAAGTTAAATGAAGCATCAGACATTGTGTTTATTTTTCTGCCACTGAATTAATTTTTCTGGCACTGAATTAGCAAAACTCTGAACAAAGAAAACTACTTCTTCAAACCTGTTTTCAATAGGTTTGAAAAAAAAATGGTGGGTTTTGTTTTTGTTTTTGGACAAAAGTCTTATCAATTAATCTACACGTCATCTTCCTGCCTTCCCTTCCACAGGAAACACACAACAGAAGACTCTAACCATCAAATAAACCTCCAAAACAAATAAAAAACATTAGGAAATTGAAACAACTTAGGTAGTTCTTGATTTGCGACAGTTCATTTAGTGACTGAAGTTACAAAGGCACTGGAAAAAAAGTGACTTTTTCACACTTACAACCATAGTACCCATCCCCATGGTCATGTGATTTTCATTTGGATGCTTGACAACTGACTCAAACTTATGATGGTTGCAGTGTTCCAGAGTCATCCCTTTTTGTGACCTTCTGATAAGCAATAGTCAATGGGGAAGCCAGATTCACTTAACGACCGTGTTACTAATTGAAGACCTGCACTGATTCACTTAACAAATGGGGCGAGCCAAGTCATAAAATGGGGGGAAAAGTCACTTTTAACAAATTTCTCCCTCGGCAACATCCATTTGGGGTTCAATTGTGTTTGTAAGTGAGGTCTACCTATACTTTTCCAAAAACAGAGCCTTTTTTAACTTCCAAAATGTTATCTTCAAAAAGGATTGATTTGAGTGAGGAAAGCTTTCTGCTTGAAATCCCGAGAAGCTGCTACCAGTCAGCGTTGATAATACTGCACTATTTCTTGCACTCTTTCTCTTCCCTGCATTTACTCTGAAAGGGACTATCATTATAAGTAGATAAGATATATTAGGCAAAATATTTGGCATAGAATTTACACTGCATAGCGTTCAGAAAATCACTGCTCATTCTTTAGAAAAAAAAACGTGGTTGCATTTTAACAGAGTTGAACACAGGTACATGCAGGCTGTTTGAAAAGAGACTGGCCAGGTTCATACAACACGTTGAAAAAGGTTAATGGGTGCATTAACCCAGTGTGGTTAACTTTAAGATTTTAACCTTGTTTGCATTTTGCAGTCCCAAACCGTTTGTCCCAAAGGTGCTTTTTCAGGAAGCAACTAAACTTTGTTTTTTTCTTTTGAAGATGTTTCGCTTCTCATCCAAGAAGCTTCTTCAGTTCTGACAGGATAGTAGGGAATATGTTCCTTGCAGACAGCTGGTAACCTGCATCCATCCTTATTCATGTGACTCTGAGGACACAGATAAACTTCAGAGTGCTTAAGTGACCCTCTGAAAGGATGCAAATGACCAGCTGTCTGCAAGGAATATAAATCCTTCCATTCCCCATTATCCTGTCAGAGTTGAGGAAGCTTTTTGGATGAGAAGTGAAATGTCTTCAAAAGAAAAACAAATCAGAAAGTTCAGTTGCCTTCTGGAAAACCACCTTTCGGACAATCCTGACCTGGATGACTGAGAATTCTCTACAGATGCTTGTCTTAAGACTTCGGGTGGGGAACTTTGGAGAGTTGAACTCCAAGTCCTTAAACTCTCAACGTATGGAAATATAAAAAAGGAAAATTGGTAATAGATAATGGTGTGAAATTAGATAAGAAAGCTGTATTTGTGATTATGGTTTCGTTTGATTTAACATGTTAAAAGCCTGGAACCACACAGTTTACCTAAAGATGTTTTTAAAGAAATAAAAATAAAAAAAATTATTTGGAAAAAAAAAAGAAGTCCTTAAACTCTTAAAAGTTGCCAGGTTTGAAAACACTGGTCTAGCTTTTGATTGAGAAGGTCAACACAGAATACAGGTTTCATACCCAGGGAAGCGTATCACGCAAAACTCAAAAATCACGTTTGTATTTTTCATATACTTCCAGATGGCTTCTGGAGATCATTCATCTTTTTTTTTTATTAAGAGAGAGAAGTTAATAACATTCGAGGTGTATCTTTAGCCTACTCTAGATTTAATAGTGTCATAGTCACGTTCTGTGAAATTAAGTATAAAGAATAAAGATGACTAAAACCAGTTGTAAACTGATTGTTGAAAACCCAGCACTTCTCCTTTCTAGGGCTGTTATTTACTGAGAAGGCCAACGAAGAGATTGGACAAGCATTCATCTAGAATGGTATAGGATTTCCTGCCTGAGCAGGTGGTTAGACTAGAAGACCTCCAAGGTCCCTTCCAATTCAGTTATTCTGTTATATTCAGTTGACTTAACCAAAAAACTCAGAATCTGCCCAAGTTACAGTCCTGAGAATCGGCAATGTTTTTTTTCTTTTTCCCAAAGCTAAAATCCTCATCTCATTCTCCCCCCTACATATCTTTATAGTGCGGTTTCTAAGATCAGTTGAACTACAGCTCCCATGATCCCCAACCAAAACTTCATGCGATGCATATGGCCTGCAGCTTAAGCCAGTTTGGAGATCTTTCGCGCATCGGGACGAGGTTGTTTGCTTCCCCCCCACTCCCCCGCGAGAAAGCTTGCAGACTGATCGGGACGGGAAGGGCTCTTCCAACCCCCTTGCCGGGGATAACGGGGCCGAAGGTGGTGGGGGGTGGGTGGGGGAAGAAACCTCGCACTGTCTCCACCTTTAGGCAATCTGGTCACTGGTCACGCGTGGGCTTTCCCGGCTCTTTCCAGGGCAAGAGATCTCGAAGCGTAAAGTCTAAGACTGGAGTAGGGGCGTAGCTAGAGAAAGGGGGAGGGTCAAATGCTAACAAAGGAAGAAATGTATAAAAAGGGGGGGGAGAACAAATGTATAGAAGGTGGGGGGAGAACTTGTGTCTCTGTCTATCTCTCTCTCCTGCTCCTCCTCCTCCTCTCTCTTTCTTTCCCTCCCTCTTTCCTCCTCCTCCTCAGATTCTTCTTCCTCTTCCCCCCCCTCCTCCCCCTCCTCTTCTTCCTCCTCTTCCCCCTCCTCTTCTTCTTCTTCCTCCTCCTCCTCCCCCTTCTCTTCTTCCTCCTCCTCTTCCCCCTCTTCTTCTTCTTCTTCCTCCTCCTCCTCCCCTGCCCCTCCCCTCTTCCTCCTCTTCCTCTTCCCCCTCCTCTTCTTCTTCCTCCTCCTCTTCCCCTGCCCTTCCCCTCTTCCTTCTCTTCCTCCTCCTCTTCTTCTTTTAATTCTTCTTCCTCCTCTTCCCCTTGCCCCTCCCCCTCCCCTCCTCCTCTTCTTCCTCCTCCTCCTCTTCTTCCTCCTCCTCTTCTTCTTCTTCTTTTTCCTTCTACACACACACACTCCAGAGAGATCCTTCTCCCTCCCTCCAGGAGGAAGTTTTATTTTCAGTTTTATTTTAAAATTGAAGGAAGCTTACGTTTTTCTGCAGGTGGCGTTATAGCGTATGCATCCAATAGGCAGCAATCGTTTAATTTGAAAACGGATTGTGTATTTTGGCTGTCTGGTTTTCTTTTCTTTTCTTTCTTTTGGCATAGAATCTGCTTTCGAGTGCAAAATCCTGGGAGGAACACCCCCGCCCCCCCGCCCCCGGCAATTCTAGTAATTTGCTTTAAAACAAATTTATTGCGGAGGGGTTTTTTTGAGGTAGCACATACAATCTGATTTGAGCACGTAAAATCATGGTTCGTTTTTTTTTCTTCTTCGGGAAATCCTGCTGGCAATTCTTCTTCCCTCACCCACCTCCCGTATCACGCAAAGATGGAACTCGTGGGTGCGTGTGGCATTTAGAGAGTCCAAACTTTTGCTGAGAAGCCCACACTGGTAGTGGCTGCCACTGAACAGATCTCCATTAGGAAGACTGACGCTTGCTTTAGGTCTACCCAAAGTCTTACAGTCTTCACGTTTTATTCAATAGATTTGTTTTATTGGTAATGGCAGATATTTGGAGGGGCGGCTTTTTTAGGCCAAAAAAAAAAAAAAAGGTGTAGTATATGCTCCTTAAATGTTCCAGAAATGTCAGAAAAAAAAAATTGGGCTTATGAAAATCCTTCTTTTCTCTGAGATGGACAAAAAGAGAGAGGTTTTGGTAGTGGTGGGTTTCAAAAAAATTTTTTTACTATTAGTTCTGTGGGCGTGGTTTGGTGGGCATGGCAGGGGAAGGATACTGTAAAATCTTCATTCCTTCCCCACCCCACCCCACTAACCTGCTTTCCAGCTCCGTTCTCCTGTTCAGGGCAACAAAAGAAGACCCAGCTGATCAGCTGTGGGCATGGCTTGGTGGGTTTGGTGTTCTGTGGGCATGGCTTGGTAGGCGTGGCTTGCTGGGTGTGGCAGGGGAAGGTTCCTACAAAATCCCCATTCCCTCCCCTCCCCACTAACCTGCTTTCCAGCTCTGTTTTCCTGTTCAGGGCAACAAAAGAAGACCCAGCCGAGTGTTCCCCTGCCAACATGCATTTTAAAGAAAGTGTTTTAGGAGCGTCTCTACTTACGCCAGTCTTTCCAGACCGCACTGGGTGGAGCCTTAGAA